TTTTACAAAACACAATTAGAAAACAATTCTAATAAAAACGGATCAAATTAATTTCAAGCGCGACGTCTTCACCGTGTTTTATTTCGCCAACAGTTCAAACCACGTTATTCCCTCTAAAAATTCACAGATAGACGTATAATCATATTTAATTAATCGTGTACAGACACCGCATTTTTATGATACATTTCAGCTGCAATTATGCAAAATCTTCCCTCTTCTTCAATCTTTCCTTCTGAGAAGCTGGAATCGGCCGCTGGCGTCTTTAAACAGGATGAGTTAAAAGGTTGAATCACCTGATCAAGCAGCTATGGATCACCTCCACAGCGCGGTAACTAAAGGCTTTTATTTTGGCTCAAAGGGAGCGGAAATCATATCAGTTCATCTCTTTAGACTTGGTGGTCGGTGGGCGTTACTAAAGGCTCAGAAGTCCATCAACTAGACCACATAAACGTCGGCAGGAGGTGAGAGAAGAAAACGTGACAGCATGCCGGTAAACAAGCAGTCGGGCAGCAGGATGAGAGTGACAGAAGTGGAGGAGTTTGTGAGAAATCCACCGCCAGGTTTCTCTGTGGAGACTCTCGGATCGGGTTACCGAGTCCGCTGCAACGAGGAGAAGAGCCTGGTGCTCATCGACGACTTCCAGTCCTGCGGGAAGAAGATCGTTTTCCACAACTCGCTGGGAAGGTGAGAAAAGACAGAAATGCACACCCAAATGTATATTCATTTATTTATGCGTTCATATGCACAAGCAATGAATATGAAACTCTTTCTGTTTTGCTTTTGGCCACAGAAAAGTGAAAATGCACAACTTGTGGGAATACAGCAGCACGAGGAAGAGTCTGCTGTCCAAGGAGATCTATCTGCTGATTTCAGCCTGCGAAGAACAATCCTCAGTGAGCAACAAAAAGGCAGCCAGAGAACTCAGCTGTAAGTGTTTCCCTACACACAAGCTGTCATCTAACAGTAATTACACACAGTACAAAGAGCTGACAGTGGTGAAAACAACTCCGTATGTTACAGCTGTGGGCTGCTCGCTGGCACAGCTGACTCATGCAGGCCTCCAGATTTGGGTGGAGTTCACATTACAGTGAAAGCATGCTTCTTACACCATGTTTCTGCGCAAACTCTCTCCTTTTCTGACCTTTTTTACTCTTTCCTCATGAACTTTCCCAACTGCATTTCAGTGGAGAAGCAGTATGTGGTGTGCATCGACGGCAACGAGCCGTTCACCAAGTGGCAGCTGGAGAGAGGCATGGATGGGACCATCTCTTCTGTTGCTGGAGAAAGCTACAGAGTGGATGTGAGCAGGACTTCGTGGTGCTTCTGTTGCACGAGCCTCTTTTATTCAGAATCACTATATGTTACCTTTCCCTTCATTTCAGATTGACCTGACTGAAGAAATGGAGAGCTGGGCAGCAAAAAACCTCATATCTGACGACCTCATGAAGGTCAAGCCCGTGTGGAGAGACGCCTCCTTCACCCTCAAATATTATTCTGATGCTCTGTTTGACTTTCCACACTGGCTTGGCTTCAGCAAAAGAATATTTAAGGTGCACCTCTAATTGTTCTTATCAGATCTTAAACTAAATCCATGTTTTTGAGTCTCTTTAGGTTTTTGTCTAACTTTGCTTTTCTTGCATCTGTTCTTATTACAGTTGAGAATGACATGAGCCAGCTGAGGATGAAGAACGATACAAACTTGAGTTTAACTGTTCACTTCAACCGGAGCTTGTTTTTGCATCTTCAGTAAAATAGATGAATGGTTAAAATATCATCCTGCCAGACCGACGGCTTTCCTCTGGAGATTTTAGGATCTGAGTCCAGAATTTCTGTCTGTTCAGTGGGTGGAAACTACTGACAAGGACTGAAAAAGACTTTCTGAATGTCATAAAGATTGTTTTAACACAATATGTGTATAAAACTTATTTTGTGTGCCTGTAAATATTAATTTTTTACACGATTTTTAACTACTGTATGTACTGTAAGAAGGGTTTAAAGTAGTCAAATCTGTGCTGCTGCAAAATGAAATGCTCGTACTTTTGCACTAAAAAAAGATATTTGTTCATGACAATTGCTTGTTTGTTTTTCTTTAAAAAAGCAATAAATGCTTTAATAGCAAGAAATCTCGTATTTCAGTGCATAATGAAGAATTCCCTTTGGGTCTGTATTTTATGGTTCGGGTCTATGAACAATGATATTCCAGGTAATGGTGTGCTTCTTGTGACAATGGGACCCAAACGAAATGTACTGTAGTTGTATTTTACATTTTCTTGGCAGAGAGTTGACGTAAACAGGAATGTGTTTGATGTGCTATTTTAATGTTGTAAGACTCAGAGTTATTGCTTTGTCTCTAAAGCTCTCTGGCGACAGTCAGTTGCTTTTTCCACCGCAAAAGTAGCATTTTGATCTCTAAAAACACAAATTCTCTCTCTAGCGGGAAAGCATTTTCCAATCACCCCCTCTAACATCAGTACAACATGTCTAAAAAAATTTAGACTGCATCTATTTTGACCTGACTCCAACGCGATCGTAAGTGTTGCAGCTTTACATTAGTAAATTCTTCCGACATCCACCTGAACTTATTGTTCTGCCATGTTGGACCTGCGATATCAGCATTATAGGAGGGGCTCAGGTTTTTGCTGAAGACTGTAAAAGAGTTGTACAACTAATTTCACCTAAAGCGTGATAAGGTACCAACAGGATGAGTGAGAGGTCCAGGTCAGAGGCTAGTTTGTGAAAGTGAGGCCCAGGAGGCACCGATTTTAATTATGTCACTAAATCACAACAACAGTCGTAGATATATTGGTTTACATATTGCCAGATTAAAGATGTAGATCTAAACAATGTGGTGACCCCTGGTAAATAAAGGAGCAGCCAAAAATAGCCAATTGAGGCTTTTGAGATGGGAGCCTATGGGTATTGACTCCACTCCAGGAACTACAGGTTTTTGCACTTCTTTGCTGGCTTTGCTTTTCAGCAACAGATTGTAGTAACATAGTTGTCTTGTCTATTGTTTTGAAATAACTTCTCTAACCTTTTTACATATGAATATAATGTGTGTCCACACACCTTTGGACATATAATGTAAGCACCACTAAATTCAGAAGCAGGTGTGATTTTGTTCTTCTCAGAAACATACTATGATCTACAAGCAGAGAGCAAACGCTGCTCTCATCTGTTTGCCTTTATATCATAAATTAAATTCTCTGTGTGGGTGTGCAATGTTTACACTGTCCTTTACATTCATTTATGAATCAGACATGACATTAATACTAAGAAAGTGTGATAAGCATCCATGCAAATGCGACCAGAACAAGCATAAACACAAGCTGTTATTAGCACATTTTGAGGTCACCTGCGACAAGAGCCTAGGAAACAATCACAGATCATTTACAGACAGCAGAGCTGAAATGGCTGTGACAACAACAAAGCACACAGATTTCTGAGTGCCTGAAACTTTTTAAGTGTTTGAGGAACAAAGATAAGAAGGAAAGTCAGGAAATGCTGACAACACTCTCTTAATACAGTGCAGTAAACAATAAAGCACGTTTGACAAAGTCGGTCTCGTGTAATAAACACATACTTCACAAGACGCGTTATTTATGTTTTTTGTCTTATAGTTTCCTTCAGTACACTCATTTATTATTTTTTTAAATAAAACAAAAACAAAAAGACAGCAGGGATATTATACCATCAGAGATGAGCATATCTCTGTATGGTTGACGCTGTACTTCAGAGAATTTCACAAACCTTTTTCCGTGTTTGCCTTTGCTACTCAAAGACACAGGAACCGTGGGAACAGAGCAGGAAATGGCATTCAGTAAAAGGACGGCCAAGGAGGAACGGTGACTGGCAGTAGTTGGAAAATGATTAATGACGGAAGTGTGTAAAAGTATGAATTTAGCTAAAGTAGTGCAAATGTTGTTCGCTTATCCCCAACAATACGTGCACTGTAGCCTGTGATATGTACTCAAACCAATTGGTCAGCAGGTCACTTGATCCATAGCCTTTAAAAAGAGGTTATGAAGGGAGTAGCACCATTTAGGGGTCTTATCAGTGATTATTTAGATGCAATTAGTTGCAATCATTTAACAAAATATACATTTCTTGCTTGTGAAACATGAGATCTGTTGGCTTTTCTGTCTACATGATAGAAAATGTTCGGGCAAATGAAATAAAGTGTAGATGACAGGCTGATTTTTTCCCCTATTTTTTGTCTTTTCATTCAAGATTGAGCCATTATCCATCCATTCCCTCTATTTATCCTCATTAGGCTTGCAGGGGACGGGGCTGGAGCCTATCCCAGCTACCACAGGGCAATACTGGACAGGTGTTACTCTCATGTCTGCCTCTGTGACGCAGAAAACATGAGCCATTAGGCGAGTTAGAAATATTAGAGATAACTTTGTGTCTGCTGTAGTGTACCTGTGAAAACTCATGTAATGGATGATGTGTGGAACATCAGGTATTACTGTCATACTGTAACTATTCACTGTGTTCGTTACAGATGAATTTGATAACTATGCCTGCTGTCTCAGAGACTTCACATTTTCTGCATGATGATGGAGAGTCCTTATTTCTTCTACCAGCACTGTATGTGCTGTATGTGTTTATTTTTTGCTTTTATGAAGAATTATAACATTTTTGTGTGTTTCTTGTCTCTGATCATATATTTTTACTTTGATTTTGGTGTTTCTTTTTCCATTTCCTCTTTTATTAGATTTCATTTATAAGCCTCTGGAGTGTTAAAGTCTCTCCTACAGAACAACATTTGATCATTTAATGCACTGAACTAACTGAGCTCTCACTTTGCTGGGTAAATGTTTTGTCTACAGAATGCAATGGAAAACATAAAAAATAATGAAAACCTATTTCCAAAACACTGCTGTCAGATATTCTGATTTTTTTTAATGAACAGTTTAATACAAATAATCAGTTAACAGCAATAAAAAGAGATGAACCAATGTCTGCTTCCTTTCAAACAGAGACAAAAAAAATCACTTGCCAAAATTGCTTTAAACTCCTGAATTTATCAAGATCAAGTGAGTGCTTTGATCCAGTCTGCCTCACACTGTCCCCCAGTGGGTGCATTTGACCCCAGCAGTGAGAGCCCGCTCAGAGTTCGCCTCCCCACCTTACCAGGTAAATCAAAATCGATATGCTGCTCCATTGACAGCATAGCGGTGAGGTGGTTAGCACTGTGACTCTCTCAATGCATGTTAGCGTAACTAGTTATTTCTAAAGTGGCTCAAGTTTGAACAGAGACTGGAGCCTGTGCAGGAATGGCAAAACATGAGCGATATGTGATTTGTAAATGTGATCTGAAGTTAAATAAAGCAACAATATAACCACTTGCTCATAGAGCCAAAATTTCATCTGTTATTTAACATGACACACCTACAAACCTTCATTAACAGAAACATAAATACACATTGAGGAGTTCTCCCTTCTTTAATCTGAACTAAAAAATACTTCGACAATGTCGGTCGGGGTATGACTCGCAGCCTGAGAGAGGAACTCGTCAAGGAAGTTTTCGTCGTGTTGCCCGTTCATTCCGCCATTCAGCTCTGATGGTCTCCCAGCAGCTTCGACCACACGCTCTGCTCCGTCAGGCCCATTGGCGAACATCTCGAAGAAGCCCGTGCTGTCTGGCGAAAGGTTGCTGGCTGTTGTTGCCGGCGAAAGCAAGTCCGACAGGAAGTCGTCACTGGTGGCTCCATCGTAGGTGCTTGAGGTGACAGTGCTGGGAGAGTCCAAGTCAGTGCTGTCCGGTCGGAGCTGTAGTCCCTCATGTTTATCCAACATCTTATTGATTCTAGCAAGCTGCTTCTTCCTTGATTTGAGTTGCTTAAGCAGTTTGTATCTGAGGGCTTCTGTGCTGCCGAGGCCTACAGGAACCTCTGAGGAATGGCTGCCATGTCTCTTTAGAGAGGCTTTAAGGAGTGCCTTTGCTCCAGGTGTAACCAGGGACGTACTAGACATCACTGTAGGGGTGGTTAGGTGGTTAGAAGTGACTGGTTGTGACTGCACAGTAGGTGATAGGAGGGGTCTCTGGTTGTTTAAGCTCTTAGCACGAAATGCCCCGTACATGTCTGCAGCTTTCACTGGCAGATCTTCGCTGTCCTCTGTCCGGAGTTGTGGTTTTGGGTAGAGCGCCATTGGAAGATGCGGTCTCTTCACAGAGTTGGGGGTAGAGTGAAAAGGAGGAGGAGGAGGAGGGGGCTTTAATTGTGTGTCTGATGCAGGGGCAAACTTAGCAGTGGACTTCTGAACTTGGTTTAGTGGATGTTTGCTAAGCAGGAAGGACCAGCGAGAATTCTGATCTAGTAGTGATGCTGATGTGGGATCGCTCTCATTGGCAGAGAGGGGTGGGTTATCAGTAGAAGACATGAGGGAACCCTGTTGTGTAATTTCAGTAGATGGACTCTTATCCTCAGTATCAGGGACCACAGGCTGTTCACGGTTTACTCCACAGGGCTCTGAAGATGTCGATGATGAAGTATGCAAAGCTACTTTTGATGAAGCTACCTTTTTACCTTTTGCTCTGCTGACGGTTTTCCCCCTGCTGATTCCTTTCCCTCGTCCTCTCCTGGCACTGGGCACAAATGTCGGATCGCTGGACGAGCCGTCCCCTGAGTCGGGATCACTTGAGGTGGAGGGAAGGTCAACACTGGGACAGTGATGCAGTTTATTACCTTTGGCAGCAGAAGAGCTGTCAAGAATGTCATTCTTACCAGCGGTGGTCAGATCTAGAGTTTTGTGGTTGTTGTTTAAAGACTGCATTTCTACATCGGGTTTTACTTCAACCAGTGTGAGCGTAATGATTTCACTGTGGGTTAGGCCCTCAAAGGTGTCAAGCAAAGTGGTGGCACCTATGGAAGTATCAAAGCCTGCCATGACTGTTGTGTCCATGATGCTGCTGGTGTCTTCAGTGAGAGCGCAGATGATGTCGGTGTCGTTATGAGGAATAAGAAGAGACTGATCTGGACTGTGAACCAACACCCCATCCGCTACCGAACCTTCATTTAAACTGTTGTTTCTCTCATTGTCAGAGAGTGCAGATGTGGAGGAGGAAGAACAGATGTGAAGCTCTTTGTCGTCTTCCACCTCCCAGAAGACGATATGCATCTCATTAGCAGGGACCTGAAGCTTTTGGTGGGTCTTACAGTCAGGGTATTTTAAATCATCATATTAAAGCCACGAGCATTAAAATTTAAAAAAAAAAAAAAAAAAGCACAACAAATGGTTACAGCAAAATGCTGCAGGTTCAACTTGGTTGTCTATGTCAAGGGTTTGTTTTACGTGACCAATGAATAAGAAAAACTGAATAACATAAAACAAAATAAATAATGCAGAATTACGGTCTCTTCCAAGAGCAACTCTGCACAACACAGTCTGCCATATGTCTAATCTATTCAAAGCATACTGCAGACTAGTTAATTATCTAACTTGTGAAAGAAATAGCTACACATCACAATAACGTTACATTTGCAAAATCGGTAAGCTAGATACAAAATAAAATAAAATTATTCAATAAATCTAATTATTAAATGACAGTGAAATAGACAGCAAATAGGGTTCTTCTCTTGCATGAACTGTCCAGCAGAATGTGCTGTTGGCAAACTACGGCAGAGTCAAATCAGACTCAACCATTAAGTGTTTCAACCACAAAGAAATGCACTTAAATGTAACTTCCAGTTTAATAAAAACCAAAAAACCTAATTTGACCTCATTTATTCGTGTAAAAATACTGCACTAACTTCAAAATATCTACTTAATCAAATTCAACTTGTATAAGGAAAAATGCATTACAAAGATGACACATCAAATGTTTAAAGTGAGAATTGCTTTAGTTTTGAAATGCTTATTTATGATTTTATAAAATAAAAATAAATGCATCAAAGGGCTGGGACAGGGGCAACAAAAGGCTGAAAAGGTTGCGTAACAATAAAGAAACCATTTATCCCACAGAAACTGTTTCAGACACAAAGAGAGATGATGTTGAGCACTCTTAGAAGACTACAAGTCTGTACACAGCATCTACTGAACATCTAAAATCAAGCGAGAATGGAAAAACAACTTTATTTTTGATCTACAGCAACGTGCTGTCGTTAAAAGGAGAGCTGATGCAACAAGTGGTAAACATGCCCCGTCCTACCGCTTTTGAAATGCTTCTGATTCATTTGAAATTGGCATATTTTTAAATAAATAAATATTTCTCAGTTTCAACATTCGATACTCTCTCATTTGCACAACATTAAATAATTCTGTCGTCTGTTCACATTTCACACACAAATACGTACCATCAGCGCTGCAAGTCCAGGTGACAAAGTGCTTCAGGTGACTCTTGTACTGTATGACAGTGGTGACGGAGTAGTTTCTGCCCTTGAAGTTGAAGGTGTACGTACTGACATCGTTGTTAGGGAGCCCCTCCACAAAGTGCAGTGCAAACACTGGAGGCAGACTATAAAACACAAAGCAAGGCAAAAAAAGCAAAAAGTGGTGATAGGTATAAAAAAGTGAAAATCCAGACAGACTTTAACAATGCATTTGTTTTGTGTTTTTAAAAGAATCTTATTTATTTTAACCACTCCGTGCATTAGTTTTGCAAAGAAAAACATACCCTGCAATAACTCAAGTCTGAGCTGCACTCTCTTTATTACTCTCACAGTATATTCATAAGGACACCACTGCTACAGATGACCCACTTCAATTTTTTTTTGTCAAATTGTATTTCCATTTATATTTAAGCAGAAAAAAAAAATCTGCATAACATATACACTCACTGGACAATTAACTGCTCGTTAAAGGACATATCCAATCAGCCAATCACATGGCAAAAAGTCACTGCATTTAAGACCATGATATCAGGTGGTGCAGATGCTGGTACGAACTGAGCATCTGCTGAAGTTCAAAGTAAGCATCAGAATGAGGAAGAAAGCAGACTTAAGTGACATTCAACTGGCATGACTGTCAGCGTCAGACAGGTTGGTCTGTTTTTCAAAACCTGCTCATTTACTTTCTAAGGTTTCAGAGAAAGGCCTGAAAAAGAGAAAATATCCAGCGAGCAGCAGTTGTCTGGGAGAAAATGTCTTGTTGATGCCAGAGGTCAGAGGAGAATTGCCAGACTGCTTCGAGCTGACAGGGAGGCAACAGTAACCCAAATAACAGCATGAAACAAGGTATGAAGAAAAACAACTCTGAATGAAGAGCAGTTTGAACCTTGATGCCTAAGACTTCACTGGCTCATGCTCCTGTCAGCTCAGCAAAACAAACGGGTCCTACAATTCACACGAGCTTAACAAAATTGAGTAACAGATGATTGGATAAACTGATGAGTTTTAATATCTTCAGTAAAATTCAGACTGAAGGGTCAGAATTTGGTGTAAAAAACATGGCAGCACAGATCTACAATCTGTGGTGTGTCAACAGTTCAGACTGATGATGGGGCAATGGTGTGGGGAATTTATGCTAGCGAGGTAGTTAATAAGGTGTCCAGTGAGTTTATTGGTAAAAGCGATGATTAGATTTATTGATCTTTTACTTCTATTAATGTGTTCATTAAGTAGTTATTAACCCCTTCCATAACTGAATACAGTAATTTCCACCAACCTCTGTGGTTTGAAGACACGGGACTAAAACAATTCAACAAGATGCTAATTTATGTTCATAAACCCAAAGTCCAAAAACCCCCCAAAAACAAACAAACAAAACAAAAAACAACAACAAAAACAACCCACAACACTTTGATTCTTTTGATTCCTACCTTTCCCACATCATAGTCCTCATCTCATTCTTCTTACAACACACATTGCAGGGGCCTAAGTGTGCTGCTTTTAGTGGGTGCCAATCAGGTACAATATTTGTTAAAGTAGGAAGAGTCTTCATATCCCTGAAAAATTACAGCATAAAATGTATTTAGGATTCAGACACAAAACAATACAGTGATGATGAGAAGTGCAACTAACTAGTTAAAAAAACAAAAACAAAAAAAAACATGCCACTACCACGTTTTTTGTAATGTATTGCTGGCATCACATTTGACATGCTGATTTTCATCAGCTAAGCTTTCAACTCTTATGTATCTGATAACATTTCTGGCAGAAATGCAGCTGAGGAATTCGTACAAATTTGCCTTCAATTACTTAATATTTCATATTTTCCCTTTGCCCTCTTGAGAGACGCCCAAAGCAGAGTTGGGCCTCTTCCAATTCTTATAATAAACAATGCATCTGCTCCCAGCAGTATAGTTATTCTGTGCTGTGGTTACACAAAGATCAAGTTTTATGGAATAAAGTGTAATGCAGTATTTTGTACACCTCAGCTGGTTAAAAATAAATGAACCTACCTTTTTCTCACAGGTGTTTTACATTTGCTGCACTTCATCTCCCAGTAAAAGGTTGCCTGGAAGAGACACTCTACCCAAGAATCCATCACAAGCAGCAGCGGCATAGCAAATACCGGAGTTTCCCTCTGACCTGAAAAGTAAAAACATGTCAGAGTTCGAACACTGCTACACGCTCAGATGCACGCTCCTATTCCAGGTGATTTTTAAAAACATAATCTTTGGATGGGGATTAAGATAAACTTTAGATATCACATCAGGATAGCCATTGCCTGCTTGGCTTTCATCTTCATTATTCCCATCCATCCCTTTGCACTTACATCATGCATTTTCCAGATTTTATACATTGTAATAATTTGGCTCCAACAAGCTGAGCAAAATCCAAGGTTTGCCTGCCCGGACCTGTGTCTTTCTGATACCATCAGGTGATAATGACTGTTTTGAAGGGTTTAAGATTAAGTCTACACAAAAGAGTGACTGGTACTCAATACAGCATTGTGGTATGTGGTATTTTCTTGTGAAACGCCAAATATATAAAAGGATTTTACACATAACAAAGTAAAAATAAAAACAATTTTAAGGCAAGTATTTTATTTTTTGAAGTTCTCAGATGGGGTGTTTCACATAGTGTGTAAACTACTGTACGTGTTTACATTTTACAGAAAGAACTTGCCAGAACAGGACCAACTGCTTCTTAAAATACTTCTTTTGTCACTGATCTGCTGGAAAAAACTGTAGCACTAGGCTATGTTGAAAATTAATATTCAAGAACAGAGGGTTTGAGGGGCCCCACGAGCCTTGTGCGGTTGAGTTTGCATTCGCTCAGACATCTCTTTCTTGCTCACAGTAGCGTGGCGAGATTTGCATATCGTTTCTAACCTAACACTGGTTTACTATAACTGCTGGTGGATTCAGAAATGCAGTCCAGAAAACAGACTTTTTTATTAATACTTTAAAATAAACAAGTTAAGATTATATCAGTTGTCAACGCTAGGAATCTTGTTTTTTGTGGTCCAACTAAACTTTCTGAATTAGGGGAGTATGTGGGAAGAAATTACTCAGCAAATGTACAGGAAAAGCTATGGCAAATATGGCTAGCAAAAAACCCTCAAAAAGCCAAGGAAAAAGTGTTTATCAACTGCTCCCCCTCCCTTTTTTCTAAAAATCTCTAAAGATCTTTTTCCCCCAAAGATCTTTAGAGATTTTTCCCCCTGTTTTTTTTCTTTAAACATATATATTTGGGCAATTCTATCATCTCCTAATGCAAACGTTTAGTCTTTGTCAGCTAAAATGTGCTGCAACAAGCTAAATCCTGAACAAACAAGAACCAGACATGCAGAACTGGGCAGCAAGACCTGTCTGGTATATGACCTATTATAACTTGAATGGCTGAAGACTAAAGGCTGAGTCACACTGAGGACTTTACTTGTTGCAGCAAAGAGACTGAAAAATGCTTTAATGATCAGCATTTTCTTAAATAATAATGTAAAGGCAACATTTCCTGGACACATTGGTAGTTGGAGCCCTTCTCCATTACCTAATGCATGCTTTGAGCTCAATGTATATATTTAAAACTACACTTAAAGAAAACACCCCAGGTCATAAAATACATGTATTTATAAACAAACATGCAGCTTTTCTTCTGCCACACTTCATGTTCAGTGTCATGTCTGTCAGCAAGATCATGAAACCTTGTGGAGAGGAGAGAAGAAAAAAAAAAAAAAAAAAGCAACCCCCCCCCAAAAAAAACCCCCACCCATGGCAGCTGATGTTTATATGCTATAAATGGGTAATTTTAGCGTGTTGCTAGGCAAAATAACAACATCATTTTATCTGATATAGATAAGAACCTTCAGGGACCCAAGATCCAGCTGTGCTTCAAGTTTGGCTGGAAACTTGAAGCAAATTATTAAGGAGATAATTTGGCGCTGAGAACTCACATTTAATGCAATAATTCTAAACTAATAACTATTACAACAACAATAAAAGCCTATTGTAAAATCTGACAAATAAACACATTCCAATAATACTGTATTGTGGGTGAAGTACTGTAATAATAACATATGGTAGGATATCCAGTGATTCCCACCTCTAGTAAAAAGACCTTTCAGATGCTACAAGTTGTTTTGAACGGCCGATGTAAGGGTATTGCTTCAGAGTATCTAAACAAGACACTAATGAGCTGTAACTTAGGTCTGAGGCGAGCGACAGGACATGTAATTCTGATTTAAGAGGTTTACTATATATTATTAAAATAGTGTCACACGGTATAAAAACTACACCCACCGATACCTAATGAAGCTCCCTGTCTGACTCCACTGTACGCTGTCACTCATTATTATAAAGACAGCAACATTAACAATCAAGTGCACATGCACTTATCTTTATACATTACGCTTTTCTTATGCAAAAGCGTAATGTATAAAGATAAGTGCATGTGCATTTGATTGTTAATGTTGCTGTCTTTATAATAATGAGTGACAGCGTACAGTGGAGTGAAACTAACTTTGCAGTCTGTGCAAAATTTAAACTAAATCTTCTTAAGACTGTGGCTCTTACAGGCCCTCTTCCCAAATGGTGATATGAACCTTCTAAGTTTACCCAAAATACACTCTTATCTGTTCTCAAAAACAAACACCACACACAACACACACTGCAAACACAAACACACACACACACACACACACACAACACACACAACACACACACACACACACACACACACACACACACAAAACAATAAACATTGGATAGCATGATGTTTAGATTATACTCTACATAACAGACATTAAATTGGGCCAGTGAAGCAATGATACGTTTACCTTGATATTTGTGCTCAAAATTGATCACAAACTGTGCTGAACAAAATATTTTGGCTGTAGATTGTGACGCTTGGACTGGGCGTAAAATAGATTACGTTTTAATTATAGATGCGTTTCAATGCATTTATCAGCCCAGGAACAATGTAAGTTATAAATGCTAAATATCAAGCAACACCTGGGCATTTAAAAATTCTGCAAATAGCACAGTTTTCATATTATGAAGGCAAAGTTTTGCATGCATTCACTGAAAACAATGCAGATTTTTATGGAATGACCTTCTCACCAGGCTGCTCAATTATGACAAAAACTATTACAATGACTATTTTGGTCAATATTAAGAACACAAGTCTGACATCAGAGACAAGACACATTTACTGAACTTTTTCTTAGTTGAACTGAACAAAATATAACACACAGTGGCAGAGTGTGGTATTATTAAGGAAAGAGAAAAATCTGTCATCTCTTCCACTTATCCAATTCAGGGGCAGGAAGCACATCCCAGCTGCCATAAGGTGTGAGACAGGGTACATACTGGACAGGTTGCCAGTCTGTCGAAGGATTAACAGACATTCATACTCACTTTCACACCTATGGTGTAATTTAGAATCACCAATTAACCTAATCCAGCTAAATGCATATCATTGGACTGTGGGAGAAAGCCGGAGAGAAGCCACACGGAAACAGGGAGAACTCTGCACAGAAATGCTTGGCCAGTTGGTAGATTCAGTCCCAGGACCTTCTTGTTGTAAGGCAACAGCACTAACCAGGAAAATCTGGCATTGTTAATGAATGTTGGATTTCATTAGGGCTGAACGATTATGGAAAATAATCTAATTGCGATTTTTTGCCCCAATATTGCGATTGCGATGCGATATGCGATTATTTTTTAAGGTCTTTGTCTTCTGTATTATTAAACAAAGACAAGCAATACATCATATAGTATGGCCAATACTATATTACATTAATTTTAAACTGTTCTTTCCTGGAAGACAGACCTCTGTTATGATGACATGAGGTGATGCATGAATTGATGACTGACATTTTTATTTAACTTCTTCAATCACAACAGTATATTTGAACATACACAATAGTTTATTTTTAGCTTACAAACATCTGAGCATAAAGTGCTGACAAGGAACCCTGGTGTAAACATTAAAATGAAAGTCAGTACAATGTGCAGATTGCAGAAATATACATAAAAAAAATCAGTGGCTTTACCACACTAGCCTTAACTAACTAGCCGTAACTAGCCTTCTGATTAGCTAATCAGAAGGCTAGTTCTGATTAGCGTCACCGCTGTCTCGGTGGAGTTTAATAAACTCGGCCGTCTGCTCCTTGCTATCTAAAATATAACCAGACACTGGTGTAAATTCTCGACTGTCTCATACTTCTGTTTAATCAGTTTTCTGTTTGACGTTTAGTCAGCTGTGTGAAAACCAAGGAGGAACCCACCCGGGGGATTAATAAAGTTTTATTTTATCTAATCTAATAACTTTAATCTCAGCCAAACCGATTTACTCACGAACAAACAAAACACTGAAAAAAGCCCAACAATAACATTTTTAGGTTGTCTAAGTGACTTATATATTACGTTTAACCCGAGCAGCGAAACTCCGCGGTGATCTGAAAATGATGTGCCGGGAGTTGTGCCGTTCTCGGCCGCATCAGTAACCCTCGAGCTCCCGGCTAGCTGTCGAGCTGGTGGGTAGCAGACGCCTCTGAAAACGTCGAAGCACTTTTGCAAATATGGGATATCTTGATAAACCGAGCAGATATTTGATGTTTACACAACTACTTTCTCGCCTGAAAATATGTTAAAAGTTTATTTTGTGACCCAGAAAGATTAGTATGAGTAATTTTAAAACTTAGTAGCGGCCGCCATTGCTGGAAACTGGAGTTTGGCTGGGCCGCGCTATGAATTCTGGGATATGGTAGTAATTTGGACAGCCTTCGGCGCGTCGCTGTGACGTAATCGGTCTACAAATGCGGCCTCAGGAGGATGCAGCCCATGAATTTGGACATGTCCAGAGTATAATCGCAGCCTTTGCGGTTAGAAAATTGCACTTGATCATGTCGCGATATTATCGCAAATGCGATATATCGTTCAGCCCTAGATTTCATAACACCAGACAAAAAGAAGCAGTGAAAGTGAAACAAATACAATAATTCCTTTATCTGTATTATCTTGTTTACATAATCTCTGAATGTCAAACTCATAAATGAAAATAAAATCTGGTTAGTTGCCCCACCCTACTTCCTGTATTGTTTGGGCAAACGCAACCCCTCCAGCACTAGTTGCCTTATAATTAAGGCTTTGAGTGGTTTTAGTGTGACTGAGCTGATAATCCGGTTGTTCAGTGATGACGCGACGAATCCTACTTCCGGGCCTAAAGTAGTCTGTGTTTAATATGGCTTTTGTGTTGTTAACATGTTTAATGTTATGTATTTTCTTCTATTTAATCTCAAAAAGCTCCTAAAACAGTCAGTGATCACTGTTGACCTCCCTCGGCTTTTATTACCGCTAATCATTTATTTAAGCTCAGTTTTTAAAACCTTAGGATGTAACTACAGCCCAGCCCATGCAGCAGTATATGAATGACTAACCTCGTATTGTGGATGGATTATCTCAGTTGTTCTCCTGGCTGAAGTTTGGTCCTTTTACAGCATCCTGCCATGCGATTACATTTGTTCCTGACCACCGAGAACACTCACGTTAACTTTTATCGAGTGGAAAAAAAGTTAGCTTGTTTATATTATGCTAACATAGCTGTGTCGCTAGCGGTCACGTAGCACATCATTATATACCAGCTAGCCAACTTCAGTAACCCTACAAACGTCACTGCTGTTTAGTTTTCTGTCTTCATTTATGTTGGAAGTGATAACAGAGCTGTACGTTTTAATTTGTTTCCAAAACCCCGCAGTCAGGACATGCTATATTGTATTTAGATAGAAGCTAGCGAGCTAACTTCCTGCTAACTTCTAACTCCGTTAAATGTCATAAATTCCGTTTTCATGGATGCCTGGATGTTAAACTCAATTGTTACACCTGGTAGAGCAGAACGCTGATCATTTTATTAAAGATGAAAGACTTTAGACAGTTTTTCAACTCTCAGTAATGCCATAGTGATCGTTTGATATATGGACCTGCAGCGGAGTTTAGGTCCAGACACGGCTAGTGACGTCAGACTGAACAACCGGATGTGTGTGGATTAAACCAGTAGCAGTAATACACAGAAACAGGACAACATTCTTTAGAGACAGAAATTCCTCATGGGGATCTCAGCACAGCTACACCTTTATTTTCAATGTTCTCATTGAACATAGACATGCTGATAAATGCTTCAACAGGAGAACACCACTCTGCTTACGCTTTTAAATAGCATTCCCTGAAAAACTTGTCTCTTAAAGACATGACTTAAGACTGCCTGAAAACACTTACCAACCTGTCATGAACCTTCATTAAGTGTAAAACTCTTGAGCTTACCGAGTTTGCAGTGCAGTTTGGGTTGCAGTAGTCTGAAGACTGACATTCTTAGACTCTGAAGGTCTGCAGTGGCCTTTTGCAGCACATGACTTGGAACCCGCACAATGCCATCTAGTCAGAAAAATTTTCCACATGAGCAAAACAAAT